CATTGAGTTTTAATACATGATTTATGATCTCTGCTTTCCTTTTTTTTCAGCTTTTGCTAAGATTCCTTTGGAGTCTAAGTGCTTTGCTGTTCACCTGGCCTGACAGGTCTGTTTCTCCTTCAGAAGAGCTGATCTGTTACTTCTGACAATGTGACCAAGGTGTCCTTTTGCCAGAACTGGTTTGACACCAGCAATGAAGCAAAGAGACCCTGAAATGTCACTGACAGCCGCGTTGGCTGCTTCAGTGCATTTGCTATTGTTCCAGTGAGTGTGATCTAATGGAAAGCAGAACATTCTTATTATAGCAAGCTCTAATTCATTGGCTGAACTCTCAAGTGTATGCAGCGACCAGCGTAACAGCTTCAGAGCAGCAGCTGGGCCAGGAATTTGTTGGCTGCACCATTCTCCCAGCAACATGGGAAAGAACTGTTTTTCCCATCTGCTAAACTTCGGTAATTTTAAAAATGTATCCATGCTGCGCTGGGATGAAAGCAAAAAATGTTCTTGCAAGAACTTGTCCTGAGCCAAGACAGCATTTAGGGCACTGGTTTGGGAGGCAGAAAAAAACCTATTCCCCCTCCCTCTCCAAGGGGGGTAAATATTACATTATTTATTCAAACTGGAACAGCTCTGACAGAGGAGACTGAGAAAGAGAAACTTTCAGGTAGGTTGGTGGTGACATCACAGACCTGGAACATGCAAACAAAGCTCCTGGTGTGAGCCAAAAAGATGAAAAACATATGTCCTCCCCCGTCAAGGCTGAGAGTTCTCTTCACTGCCACTGCAGGGATGATGATATTCTTGTGGTGACCAGAAATTCATCCTGGACCTGAGAAGCCTCTTCCTGATGAAACTGTCAAACCTCATGTGTGGTTGTGCGCTTTGATTTTAACAAACTGGAATTTTTCAGCTCATCCTCATTGAATTACACCCTGCATTTTTCAGATCACTGCACCAGCCTGTTGGGATCCTCCAGAGTTACAGTCTTCTCTCCCAAAATGTTTGTGGACAGTAGGTGGACATGAGACAAGGGAATTGGGCAGGCCACTGTCGAAATATACTTTTTTACATGATGTGACTATTGCCTTTGATGCCTTTCCTCTCTTTCTCCCCCTTCCCCTCTGCCATCAGCATTGCTGGCTGAAATAAGTGTTTTATGGCTTTCCCTCTGCCTTCCCCCCTTCTCCCTGCCGAGAGCTTTCCGCTGGGACACGCTTCTCCCCGCGGCCACGGCAGCAGCATGGCACCGTGCCCCCGCCGAGAGGGACGCTTCAACTCCGGCTGCTTCCCCGGGGTACCGTCTCGCCCCGGCCGCCCGCCC